TCTAAAATATGCGACGAATAATATACATATAATTTGTGGGTCTACTGAGTCCACTTCAGTTTTTGGGTGTATTAGATATGAAACTTGATGAACATTTAGTTTCAGCAAAACATATTGACTGACCTTGAATGAAATATCTAAAATGTTCAAACAAAGTAACGGAATGAGCCATAGCAGTAATTGGAGCACTTTATGGAAGGTTTTGCGGAATTTGGTTTGCGGGTTTAGAAAATCAAACTATTGCAAGAATTGAGGCCAAATGACCATCCTCGTCATGGGCTCAAAACGAGATGGCTTCAGATTCCGATTTTCACAAGAAAATTGTGTTAGGCGATGAAGCTCACTTTTGGTTGTATTGGAGCGGTAATAAAAATATTTGTCGCATTTGGAGTAATGATAAGCCCCAAGCTATTGTTGAGACGCCGTTACGTTCTCAAAAAGTCACTGTTGTGTGCTTTATGGGCAAAGGGAATCATTGTCCATATTTCTTCAAAAATGAAGCCGGCCATATTGTTACAGTCAATGGGAAACACTATGGAGCCATGATTAATGACTTTTTCTTGACTGAATTGGAGGATTTGATGTGGACGACCTTTGGTTCCAACAAGACCGCCCTATTTTTTGTGGGCTTATGTCGTTTTTCTACCCAGATAAGCCCGAGACGATTGGTGCCTTAGAGAATATTCGGCGCGTTATTGCTGACATGCCGCCCCAATTGCGAATAGTGGTGGAAATGTAGCTTAAAGTTAGTACTCGGCTGTGCGTTGACAGAGCTATTTTCTACCTACAGTAGCGTATGCTGCATGTTGTAACAAAAAATTAAGCATTAAAAAGGTAAACAATAAAAATTATTATCAAGCACAACAAAAAGAACATAGATATACTACATACCTATGTACATGTAAATGTATAGCGCGATATGCCACATTGTTTATTGTGACAACATAATTTTTTAATGAGTAGTTAAAATATTATGTAATTAACAATAAATTACACGCTGCACATACTGCTCACACGCATAGCTTAACACACAGACCGCACGCGCAAAATATTTATTACAACGATTGTAACTTTTTGTTAACACCATCAATGAAAAGCAACGTACCGTTTCACTTTGTCGTCATCGAGCCAAATTGGCGCTGGTGTGGGAGGTTCTCAAACACAAAGCAAAGTCATTTGCCATTTGCCTGTTGCTAGCTGCCAACAGCCAACAGCTAAGTGCCAGCGGCTGCTGGCTGCCACTGCTGCTGACAGTCATTATATGCTGGCGAGATAAGCGCCGCTCAACGCAACATGACTCGAATGCGTATTGAATAATTTCCAACACTTTGCGGTCGTTGGCTTCGAAATATTTGAGGGTAGCGGGGACTTAAAAGTGCGGGTCAATTGTGGTTGTTGGGGCTTGGAAGGTTCGAGGGGGTGGGGCTAAGCGTTTAATGTCGTGTCACTTGTTCATATTTCACTTCCATTTCAATTTAATTGATATCGATCAGAGTGTCAATTGAATACTTCATGAATTAAAATGATTAACACAATTTAATTAAATCATTTATATTTAATTTTGTTTCTTCATTAAGTATTAATTGCCACGAAGTTTCAATGGTAGTGCATTTATTTTAATTTTATGTCATCTGTATATCGATTTAAAGCTGAGATTATTTCAATATTGAACTTTCGCGTGTAGTGTATCAAATAATATGATTATTGCCATCTTTGTATAATGTCGAAGTGTTTCGGTTTCCTTATTATTATCTGTAACGATTTGTAGCTAATGTAAGTTAAAGGATCGATTTGACGTGCAATGATTAAGTCAAAATTATTTAAGGAACCGTATACACTCGTAGTTAGCGATTTACTTGTGTCAAGTTTTTTCTGTGATGGCTCATGGTTTCGTCATAGGTTTGGTGCTGATCTTAATAGACATTGCTTCAAAAAAGTATGATCCTTTTAGACTTACTGAGTTATTATGCGAAGTTTATCAAGTTAGCAGTATACATATATTATATTTTTGGAATTCGTCGATGATTAGCGACAGTTATTAAAAACTATTTTTGTTGTGTAATTTTCTTTAGATTTTTCATCTATCGCAAGTGGAAAATAACTAAATATATCATAATACCATACTACTGTCTATTAGTGATGGAGAAATGGAATCTGTGATCGAATGTTAATGTGATTTACTTGACATTCAGAACTACAAGTATATGTGATAGGCGAGTACATTTCATAAAACCACATCTATTAAAATGGTTAAGGCATGTAACGAGAATAGAACTAAGAGAGCGCAGAAGAAAATTGTTGAAGCCAAAGTGTTCCACATTAAGGGGAAACCAAGATCAAGATGAATTGATGAATTGTATAAATATATGAAAAACTTTGTGTAAAATATTGGAAAAAAATAGCAAGTGACGGAGATGTCTGGAAGTCTCATTAGCAGGAAACCATAGCTTACAAAGAGCTCTATCGCCAAAAGAAGCTGATGTTTTTAGCCAGACTGAATTTTTTTATGTTACTTAGAATTTAAAATAAGTGCATATCTAAATTTATAACACTGTACATCACCCATCTGGATATTTTACCAAACCAATTTTTTAAGTCAAAAGTAAAAAAGTAAAATTTACGTTTAACGAAGTTAGCTTCCAAAATCGAATATTTGCCTTGGAAGTTCGAAATTGAGCTTATTAACATCAACATTAATTATATTATGTATGCTACGGAAAAAGTAAAAATATGGGCTTTATCCACGCTCTTATTCCAATAGTGTATAATATTTTTCTGTGGATGATAATGTGGTGGATGCGGAAGCAATTCGAGTCCCAGTTTAAGCAATACTGTCATCATTTTCATTGATTTGGCCACGGCGCATATGAGAGCTCAATAATAACTAAGAGTTGTCTTATTATTTATAAACTCTATTCTCTACCACCTTTCCCCACCCACTTTCTAGAAGCGCATTTAAGTACATAAAAATATATTTTGTAGAAATATAATCCTAAAAAAAGTACAAACAGTGTATGCAATTACTAGGGTAGAACTAGTTTTGACTGCAACCTAGCATAATTTAACCATAACTGTCTTTGATTCGCCATTTATCTGCTCGCTTCTACTCTCTTGCCAAAAATATTACATCTAAAAGCAACAACAAAGCTATCGAGTTGAATTCGTGCAAGAGAGTATGCGAATACCGATTTAAAGTGGTATAGCCGCTGTCTTCTATGCTTTTTTTGCCATAGTTTAGATCAGTTTTACTATAGTGAATGAAATGATGAATTAAAATTAAACTTATAGAAAACAAAAATATAGTGTTAAATAGTAAATAATCATAGCACTATTGTGCATGCGGCAGCAGACATGTTAACAAGTTGCACCACAAATGCTGCCCATTTGTTTGAGCATCTGGCATAGTTTGTTCGATTCACTACTCTCGAACGCTTGACAGTTAATATAGAAAGAATATTAAGAAAAAAAAATATTTACTTTAGATTCATTATCTATAATCACTAATATACATATATTGTAAAATTAATAGGATGAATAGAAATTTACCCGTATATAAACGTCATGAGTATAATAATAAGATCCGAGTTGATTTGGATATGTAATATTCCTGTTAAATATCGTATTAGGGATAGAAAGTTTCGCTTAGATATCTTTGCCAATGAACGGATTATTCGACCAGCAAAGTAATAAAATTCAAAAAAGGTTAATGGGATATACACACAATTATTTTCCTTCGTGTAATCCCTTGCGAGCAGCAAATAAATAATGTGTTCCAAATATTGAATAATATAGGATCAACAGATAACAATTCTTATGTGAACAACACCAAAAACAATTTCAGTGAGTCTATTCACATAAGTAACAACATATCATAAAAACAGTTGGTTCAAAGCTCAAGGTTAAACATCATTTAATGTTCACTAATATGTATATTTTATATGGCAATACAGGTGAATGTATCGTACTGCAGCAAATGAGTGCTGAGCGTTAAACGCAAACTACGCATGCACACAAATCGAATTGAGCGTAGCCGGTATAATGATAAATGGGTAAAAACTTATAATTCGTAGAAAAGTAAACGCAAAGAGAGATAAAAACAACTGGTAATTGGTGGGTAATTTAAAAGTGGCGACGTCATCGCTGACGCCATTCAGTGCATACGAAAAGTACAAGTGAATCAACAGTCAAAGTGTTGGTTTTTATTATGCAACAGCTGTATCGGTTAGTCAACAACAGCGCTCAAGTTGCACGTTGCAATCGCAGTAAAAACCCACTATATAAACAACTGTCTGGTGGCATGCATTTTGGACCGGCTGACTAGTGGCTTGGCTGCTGCACCTACTGTCTCGCTGCTGACTGAGTGACCTACTCTGGTCGCTCGCATGATCTTTAAGATTGCATCGCGTGTATAAACAGCAGAGAGCGGCACTCTCCTTTGTACAAGCGATTGCATTGGAGAGTATTACCAAATCCATTCACTGTTTTGAACGGCCTTGTTGGAGCATTCACTGAAACTGATTCAACAAAATTTCGCTCTTTGCGCTCTTAGCCCTACTCAACTAAACCCAATTTAGTACTACATGCATTAACATATTTATTTATATGTGTGTGTGTGCGTAAGTACTACTCGTATTTACGTATTTTATGTCTTACTATTCGATTACCACATATTGCACCAAGCTCAAGCATTGCATACAATTTCTGTTTTTAAGACAGTTGTTACTAAAAGTGAGCACATTTTTGTTTGAAATTTGGCAAATTATTTGGTCAGTCTGTTTTTTTTCATGGTGGTGAACGCGCGCGCTTTTTAGCTTGTTTGCTTCTAAATAATTTAGTGCGAAAACATAATTTTTCCTTATATAAAGGTATGACCAAATTAAATTATCTGACAAAAGTGTTTCGATCCTATTTAAAAAACGTGTGTCTTATGATTGCGAATCCAAAAATTTTTTTAATGTGTGATACGGACGAGAGTGCTTAGAAAACTCCAACATTAAAAAAAATTTACTAATATTAACTAATAAAGTTTTGAAAGAAAAAATATAAAAAATATTCGTTTCATGGTGTTACTTTATTATTAATATTTATCCTTACATACCCATATATATTTACAAGAGATTCAGTAAATTTACTTCAGCTCGGTAAGAACACCTACACATTTCTTAAGTAAATTGAAAATAGTTACATAAGCATACTTATATATAAAAAACTCGTGATAATTACCCTCTTGAAAAAAAAAAATTGGCATACATTTATATAATATTTCTGTCAAAAGTAAGCACCCACACGGCCACTTGAAATCGGTACTAAAAAATAATCGCTTTGGATATTAGTTATTATACCCCAAACTGAAACGTCGAAGACCCTGTAAAGTTCATATAGGTATGTATATAAATGCGAGCTGAGTCGAGTTAGTCATGTCCGTCTGTATAAAATATAAATGATCGGAATCAAGTGTTTGAAAACTTTTTGTTTAACGAATTATTTTCGAAGACAACGGTACAATCCTCGGAGAAATTGTTCAGAACCGACTACTATACCATATAGCTGCCATACAAACTGGCAGAACAAAATCAAGATATGGAGCTTTTTTTACCCTTTTGTGCACTAAAAAATGTAACTGTGAAGGGTAATATAGCTACTTTTGCAGCCGATATTATTATTTTTTCTTGTTTTTATAACATTTCTTGATACAATTTCATAAAATTTTAATATTTCGTTTTCCATAATAAGCAAATATTTTTTTAATTAAATGTCGGTGTCTATCCATACCCAACTTCATCAACAATCAGTGGAACTTTGGCCATATAAAACTCCAACTAATTAATTTACATACATACAACCTTCACCATTCAAAGTTCTACAAATCACTATCATTAGCACATTTGAAGGTAATCTAGTGCTGTGATTCTATTATCTAAACTGTGTCAAACTGATGCCCTGTAAGAAAAACATAAGTTAATGGAAATTTTAAATTGAGCACTTTAAATTTTAGTTGCAATATGAACGAATGTTTTAAATCAAATGTATAAGTGTCTGAAGATTATATGATCCTATGTAGAAATAGCAAGCATGTGCATTCTGCATAATAATAATTGAGTCCTAAATTAATTTAGAAGTACTGAAAATCGTTTTGTTAAAAATAGACGCTTTGAGAAAAATGCTCGAGGATTTTCGCCGTGCACTTTGCCACTTTGCTAATAATGAACACGTCAATAGTCCGAGGAATGCAGATGCATAGCAGTTAGAATAGTCAAATATGTAGATAAATGTTGACACTAAATTTCACATATTTTTGCCACCAGACGTTCTGGGAATATTTTTTACAGAAACTGAACCGTCTTATTAAAATAACTAGCTGACAAAACGTTTACCCAAACAGTCATGCAGTTGACAGCAATAATCGACTATTTACAAGGTAAAGCGACAAAATTTCAACACTGGTTTCCAAAATGTGTCTAACCAAATAATCGGTTAGCACATGCCAAAGTTTTTCTTTACCATACATAATATTTACTTACCGAATAATGGCACACCTTGTATAGTCATATTTTATTAAGAAATACACTTAAGCTCACATGTCGTTAGCCGAGCTGCTGACACATAAGTGCGTAAACAAACTCTGTCTGGCATCTGTTGAAAATCATGCAGAGACTTTCGCAAAACCAAAGTGTGGAAAACACTAGAAAAATTACAGAAAATTGATTTTCTTAAAATTTATTTATAAGCCGGAAATTAAAGTTTGCATAATTACGAGACTTGAAAACATAAGATTGATAAAAAATATGAAGATAATTATGATAAATATTTATAATTTCGGTTTTTAAAATTTTTGTTTGGCTGTATGTCTTTTTTCGTACTACTAACATTCAAATATACTGGTGAATATATCGTTACCAAAAATGTACAATGATTGTTTGAAAATTACCTCAAAATCCACTAGGTGTCAATAACTTTTTCTATGCCATTTCGTTACTTCCATATACATTTTTATACATTATCGTTTTTATTTTTTGGCTTTTTTATGATGGTTTTTGAAGGTCATGCAGCTGTGACGCAAGTATTCGCTAAAAGCGGGTTCAAAAACCGCCTAAGTGCAGATTCAACTCCAAATGCGAGCTGCCTTAGTAATACTTTGTGAAAACAAACATACAAGCCAAACGTTCAATTATGTGTACATATGTATGTATGTATCTACTTGTTTGTTTTTCACACACGAAATTCCAAACAAACCTTGCGGTCGCATAAAATACTATAATAAAATGCAAATTTTGCGTCTACACATATTTCTGACCGTATTTCATATTCATATTTTCTCGAGGTAAATCGGCTTTTTCGGCTTTATTTGTTTCTTTTTAACAACATTGGGCTTACTTTACAAAAAGTTGAAATGTTATAAATAAATTTAGTGGTAAATTTTTAATGCCGCAAAAAATGAAATGTGCATATTTGTATAGCATTTTCACGTTAAGGAAAAAAATATCGAATGCACATAAAAAAAAAAATAAAAAACAAACAAAAAATAGGTTCAATTTTTGAGTGCATATGTGCACTATTTTTCGTATATGTTTTTTTTTTGATTTTCAAATGCAATTTTTAATATATTTTTCGCTTTATTTTGCATTTGGGGCACGATAGCACTGCGAACTTCGCATTGTTAGTTTTTTGCGCAATTTATTGTGCGGTCTGATTCTTTTTATGCCCATTGCTTCGGTCTTCGCAATTTGTTGTATGGTTTTTATAAAATAATTTATGCATTCGCAGTTTCTTTTGCAATTTTGTGCAACATTCGGCTCGTTTGTGTAGTCAACTAATTGAGCTTTAAACAAAGCGGCCGATCAGTTCGGTCATTTTTCACTTTAATACTCGTATAGCTTTTGCACTCAACGGTAGTAGACGTGCATGTTAATGCATCGGTCCGGCAAATCTTACTCCTTAGTTTGGGTGCAGGTGGTGTATATTTGTGAAATGCTGCATTTCAATAGCAAATTTTTTGTTGGACAAAATGTAAATGCGATGTGTGTTATGGTTAATTTTTTGCAGGAAAAACTGACTGCGGTGAAAAAACGCAATTCTCATAAATAATGAAAAACAAAAGCAAAGTGAGACGTTATCTCAACAATATAAAATTTCAATAAAAAATTTAACTGAAAGAGAAAACTAATTATTCATAATATTTATTTATAATTTTTCTGTATTCATTGTCATTGGATATTAATTAAATACTTTCAGAGATGGCGTCTTTGTATTCTTATCACCGACAATAACATATTATTCATGATCGCATCTTATTTGTTAGAAATTATGCCGAATTCGAACTAACTAATATACTTTAGTAATCCATAGTTCGTAATTAACACTACACATAAATTTAGGCTTATTCGTTTTATTCTTGGTGTTTGGAAAATATTTGTATACTGTACTGATCCTGATTAGATGTTTTAAGTTTGAGACGTTATTAAAGCTCAGAATATTGGTTTGATGTAGTTTCATGCATCGTCATGCTCTTTCTTTTCATATAACATACAAACCAAAGACAGGAATAAAGTTCTTGTATGGAAAACATTTTTATTTCGCAAGACATTATACTTTTTAATTAAACAAGATATTTTCACGAAATGTCATACTGAATATTGTCCAAAAGAATGCTATAATACCCGAAAACACTTTCTAGATCAGACGACTATAGCATATAGCTGCCATATAAATTGAACGTTCAAAATAAGTATCTTGTCTGAAAAGCTGTTTTGTTTGACAAGATATTTTCACGAAATTAGCAATTTCAACGGTACAATATTTGAATAAAGTTTTCAGTTCGGACTATTATAGCATATAAAAAACAAGATCAAGTTTTTTAATGAAAACTTGTTTTTATTTTTGAATGGTATTCTAGCTTTAGTGTAAGCGATGTTAACGTTATTTCTTTGTTTTTAATTTTATATCAGCCTTTTTTAGTGATATAGATTTACAGATATAAGACTCAGTAATAGTTACTCTAATTTAAATATTGTTTTCATTCTGTTTAAATTTTCGAAATTAACGATTAATTTTCAGTTTCGTACATTAAGTATTTCCCAAAAATGCACTTATGTAATATACAAGTACATAGTATATTGTATGTATTTGTATGTATAAAATACTGAAATTTCACAAAATTCCAATTACTCATACGCTGCGTGGTTCCGCAGCGGATTTTCAATAGTAGTCAATAAGCTTAAACAAACTTCGTTATAATACTAACTTAAAGCGAAACGTACTTTCCATATCAATGACCCCGAGATATCAAATAACGCTAAATCGTAAACAAAAGTTTTCAAGCAGCCATATAAACACAATCGGTATGTAGAAATATATGTAACACTCAAATATAAAAGTCTGCATTCCTTTAGTTTTTTGCACGATGACTAGGGTCTGAGCGGTTAAGCATTACATTATTTCTTTACACTGTTTTACTATTTTTTAGAAAATTTTATTATTAACTTGTGTTATACATATTTATTTTTTTAAGTAGTGATTGAAATTAATTTTATATTACAATCATTTGTTTATAAGCCAACATTCACAAATATTAAATATATATATATATTTTATGTATATATTTGTTTTGTGAAATTGATATTATTGAACTTATAATTGCTTAAAAAAAGGTCGTTTGGATGATATTTCGTATCTGTGCAGGAACAATGAAATATAGACCACGTGGTTTTTTGTAGTAAAAAAAAAATGTTTGGATACAATAATTATTGAACATAAATTCGTAAATTGACAATTTCAGTTTTAAAATGGTAGTATGCATCCGGCAGTAATATCTAGTGTACCATAAATATGAACATTTTCAGTTTATAAGCTAAAGTTACTACAGGAATTTATTGTTTGCCACCTGTTATGAAGCTTTGTTCTCCAATAAGCCTTTTTTTTAGATTTTTTATAAAAACAACGTCAAAGTATAGTCTCTTTTTTCAATTCAAATAAATTTTTTGGGACATTTGAATTTATGTAAGTATTGGCCAAAAATATTGAGAGCAATAAAAACAAACGTAGCCTAAATCTCTCCTAAATTCTAACAGATATAAATATTTCAAATCGATTCGCACTAATGTACACAAATGGTCACAAAAATATTTCGAAATATTTATTGGAA